TATACTCACCAAGACAAAAAATAACAGATGTTGGAGAGGTTGTGGAGAAAAGGGAACCCTCATACACTGCTGGTGGGAATGCAAACTGGTGCAGCCACTATGGAAAACAGTATTGGAGATTCCTCAAAAAATTAAAAATAGAAATACTATATGACCCAGCTATCCCACTACTGGGTATTTATCCAAAGAATTTGAAATCAACAATTCAAAGAGACTTATGCACCCCTATGATCATTGCAGCATTATTCACAATAGCCAAGATGTGGAAGCAACCTAAGTGCCCATCAACAGACGAATGGATAAAGAAGATGTGGTACATATATACAATGGAATACTACTCAGCTGCAAAACAGAACAAAATCATTCCATTTGCAATAACATGGATGGACCTTGAGAGAATTATGTTAACTGAAATAAGCCAGCAAGAGAAAGATAATCTGTGTATGACTCCACTCATATGAGGAATTTAAAACTATGGACCAAGAACAGTTTAGTGGATACCAGGGGAAAGGTGGGGTGGGGGGTGGGCACAAAGGGTGAAGTGGTGCACCTACAACATGACTGACAAACATTAATGTACAATTGAAATTGCACAAGATTGTAACCTATCAATAACTCAATAAAAAAAAAAGACAAAATTGTCCCATTTACAACAATCTTGATGGACCTAAAGGGTATATTACATTAAGCGAAATAAGCCAGATAAAGACAAACACCATATTATTTCACTTATATATGGAAGATAAACAAACACACAAAGAGAACAGTTGAGTGGTTACCAGAGGGGAAGGGGCACAAGGGGTGAAGGGGTGCATTTATATGGTGACTGACAAATAATAATGTACACATGAAATTTCACAACGTTATAAACTACTATGACCTCAATAAAAAAAAAGGAAATTCAATAAATCAAAAATCAAAGTAATAGTAAAAACATTTTTTTTTTCCACTCGGTTCTTCTTTACATCTTCTGTTTCTTTGCTGAGAATCTCTATTTCTTTTTTTTTCTTTTTTTTTAAGGAAGATTAGCCCTGAGCTAACTATTGCCAATCCTCCTTTTTTTTCTGAGGAAGACTGGCCCTGAGCTAACATCCGTGCCCATCTTCATCTACTTTATATGTGCGACACCTACCACAGCTTGGCTTGCCAAGCAGTGCCATGTCTGCACCCGGGATCTGGGCCGGTGAACCCAGGGGCCGCTGAGAAGCAGAATGTGCGCACTTAACCGCTGCGCCACCAGGCCGGCCCCTAGAATTTCTATTTCTTTCAAGCAAGTTCATGATTGCTGTTTGAAGCATTTTTTTATGATGGCTGCTTTAAAATCTTTTTCAGATAATTCTAAATCTCTGCCACTTCTGTGTCTGTGTCTGTGAATCACCTTTTCTCAGCTGAGGTTTCCTTGCTATGATGAGTGATTTTAGAATGAAACCTGGACATCTGAGCACTCGGCTATGAGACTCCACATTCCATTCAATCCTTCCATCTTAATAGGCCTCCTCTGACATCGTCCCAGTGCGGGAAGCAGAGCGCTGGCTCATTACTGCCAAGTGGGAGTGGAAGCCCAGGCTTCCCACACCTGGCTTCTGGGAACTCCTGAGTAGGGAGGGCTCTTCGTCACTGTTGGGTGGCAATGGGAGTTCAGGCTCCCCAGCAGGCCTCCGTTGACACCTGGGGACAGAAGCTCCTTGCTGCTGCTGGGCAGAGGCGGGAGTTTAGGCTCCCAACTGTGTCTTCCAGATTGGAAAAGGCAGAGATGCCTCCTTCCCATCCCCCACCTGGTCTCCACTGACAGCAGATTTCTCGTCAGAAACCACTGAAGCCACAAGAAGTGGCACATTTCTGAAAGTCAAGAGAGACCTTGTTACTGCCCAGCATCTATGAAAGCCCCAGTTCCTCACCCATGTTCTGTGACATCACTCCAATTGGGCACCTAATTACAGCCTGATGTATGCGGAAGTTTAAGCTTCCACCTGGTGTTTGCTGGCAGAGGTGGGGCCAGTTTTTCTGTGGTGTTTGGCTAGAGTAGAGTGGCTACTGTTTAAAACTTTTCTGCTTTGCTAGGCTGAACCTGTCCTCGCCCTTCGGCTAATGTAGTGGGTTGAATGGTGGCCCCCAAGAAGGTACGTTCATGTCCTCATTCTCAGAACCTGTAAATATTACCTTATATGTCAAAATATGCCATTAAGTCAAGGATTTTGGGAGAAGGAACTTATCCTGGGTTATCTGGATTGGCCCTAAATTCAATGGCAAGTGTCCCTGTAAGAGACACACAGGAGAGACATGACAGGTAGAAGAGGAGGCAAAGAGACCACACAGGCAGAAATTATACAGGTATAGTCACAAGCCAAGGGTCACCTGGAGCCACCAGAGGCTGGAAGAAGAAAGGAATATGCCTCCCCTTGAATCTTCGGAGGAAGCACCGCCCTGACAGCATCTTGATCTCAGACTTCTGGCCTCCAAAACTGTGAAAGAACACATCTTGGTTGTTTTAAGGCACCCAGTTTGTGGTACTTTGTTACAGTCTGGAACTGGGAAGTGGGGTGCTGCTGTAACAAACGCCTAAAAACGGGGAATGACTTTTTACATAATAGGTGGAGACCAGAAGAATTTTGAGATGCATGGTAGAAAAAGCCTAGCTTGCCTTAAAGACTATTGGTATAAATATGGATGTTATAAATAATATAAATATTGATGATGAGGGCTCAGAAAGCGAGAAGCATGGTAGAAAAAACCTCTATCATCTTAGAGAATACATATACCATCATGAACAGAACGTTGGTAGAAATATGAATGTTACCTGCCTGATTTGTGTTCTACCATTAGGTGGAAAGCAGAATTTGTAAGCAATGAACCTGGGTATTTAGCTGTGGAGATTTCCAAGCAAAATGTTGAAGGTGCAGCCTGATTTCTCCATGCTGCTTATAGTAAAATGCAAGAGAAAAAAGATAAATTGAAGAAAGAACTGTTACGCAAAAAAACCCCCCAGCAATTGATGACTTGGGAGGTTCACAGCCTATCCAGATTGCACAGAATGCTAAAATTAAGAAATTCACTATTGGGAAAGCATGCTCTAGAGAGAGGCCCAAGGGTGTAGCTGGACAACCCTTTGCTGAAGAGATTATGTGTGTGACTCAAACACTCACTCAATCATCTCAGAAGCCAGGAACAGAGATGGGGTTATCCAAGAAAGATCTGTGAATCTTATCTAATGGTGTGGACTCCCAACACATACAAAGAAGACCCACAAGATTTTTGAGAATGTTATATCAGCAGACACCAGCTTGAACTGAAAAGGACGAGGAGAGGAGGAAACGAGATAAATCTGTTGGACTTTCAAAACTCTACAGGCAGAAAATGGTTGATAGAGTCACTCAGTTGTAAACACGTGCTAGCCTTCAGGAAAAAAGGAAGGATGATTCCGAGGGCAGAGCCACGGGTTCAGAAGCAGAGTCTGGAGAAGCAGGTAACACAGGCAGCGGGTGCAGAGGCGGGACCTATGGAGTCACTGTGAACAAAAACTCAGAGGGCTATGGAGCTGCCTTGGGCCCAGCTGGCAGAGCCTCAAAAGACAGAGAATTACCCTCGCGACTTGAAACCTAATGGAATTTGCCCTGCTGGATTTCAAACTTGCGTGGGACTGGTGACTTCTCTCTTCCTTCCAATTTCTACCTTTTGAAATGGGAATGTCTATCATATGCCTATTCACCATTGCATTTTAGAAGCAGATAACTTGTTTTCTAGTTTCACAAGTCCACAGATGGAGAAATTTTGTCCCAGGATGGATCATGCCCAGAGTCTCACCCAAACCTGATGTAGATGATGAGTTTCAGGACTTTTGAGCTGATATTATTCAGATTTTGGTATGAGAGTTTATTGTGTAATGGGTTGAGGCATCTGGGGATGTTGAGATGGGGTGAATGTATTTTGTATGTGGGATGAACATGAATTTTGGGGCGCTAGATGGTAAACTGAAGTGGGTTCAATGCTGGCCCCCCAAGAAGAAATGTCCACATCCTAATTCCCAGAATGTGTAAATAGTGACCTATATGGCAAAACGTGAGTAAGTTAACGATCTTGAGAAGAGGAGCTTATCCTGGATTATCAAGATCAGCCCTAAATTCAATCACAAGGGTTCCTTTAAGAGGCACACAGGAGACATTTGACAGGGAGAAGAAGAGGTGGCAGTATGGACACAAGAGGCAGAGAGGCAGCCACAGGTCAAGGATCACCTGGACTCACCAGAAGCTGAAAGAGGCAGGGCACAGAATCTCCCCAGAGCCTTTGGAGGAAGCGGTTCCGCCAGCACCTTGACTTCAGACTTCTGGCCTCCAGGACCGAGAAAATAAATTTGTGTTGTTTTAAGCCTTATAGTTTGTGGTAATTTGTCACGGTCCTAAGAATCTAAAGAGATCTAGAGTGCAGGCTTTTGTGTTTGTGCCCATTGGTTGGCTTCTCCAGCATCTAGTCAGGAACATATGAGACAAAAGGAAAACCCAGGGAACTCACCGCCGTCATTCCTCAGCTCCAAGGACCCTAGCGGGTTTGCCTTCATCTCTCTCTGCCTTTCAGAGTCTTATTTGTTTATAAATAATGCCCAAGGATTTTTAGCTGTGCTTGGTGGGAAAAATAGGAGAAAGTACATCTACTTCATTTTTTTGGACACAAAAGTCCTGCCTCCAGAGTTTTCACTTTTTCAACTAATTAGCATATTGCAGTTATAGTAATCTTTTAAACCATTAATTGGTGATGTCATTTCCCTGCTCAAAATTCTTCAGTGACTCCCATCTGCCTATAAGCCCAAGACCCTTAGCCCAGCATTCATTCCCTCTGCAATCCGACCCCTTCCCAGCCTTGCTTTCTGGTCTTATTTCCCACTATGTTCCTCACCAGTGTTTCCAAAATCATGCTTCATCAAACTCCAGTTCTTTCAAATGTTAATAAATGATACACTCACACAGGAAAAAAAAAAGGTTCTATTGTCAAATGAGTTTGGTAACCAGTGAATTTACGCAAAGTTAAGCCGGTTTATTATCACAGGACTTTGGATACTTTAATACTCCAGTGTACACCGTGAATCTCCAAGAAGCAATGAAAGCACGAAGCATTTCTCAAACTTACTTGACCGTGGAACCCTCTGAACTGTCTCCACGGAAGCTACTTTGTCAAAGTCTTCTATCCCGACTTTCTTCTCCAACCAAACTCACCTATTATGATGGCCTGAACACTCGGCTCTCCTGTTTATATGCAGGAGAAGTTTTGTGAAATGTTAAAGAGGCAGTGCTAGTGCTATGGCACTATTTAATCTCATAAAATTTTCCATTAAGTTGGATTCTGAGTTCATAAATCCCAACCACAGATCTTATAAAAATAGACTGTGGAACCCAGTATAAGTGTTGAGTCATGTTACAAAATATAGAAACTTTTTTTTAAATAAATCAGTTTAATAATACTGCTAGATGACAGGAGAGGCAGGAATTCCCTCGTCCCCCTGCCACACACACGCATCTGAGTGGGCACACGAGGTGTGGGCAGAGCGGTCAGCAGGCTAGCGGTTGACAGATATCCCATTCTTTCTTTCTTCTCCATGGCAACTCACTCCCAGGTCATCTGTGGGACCCAAAGGAAGGGAGCTGCTCTTCGATCCTGGCTCCAGTGAGTCAGTCTGTGGCCGAAAGGACTGCAGACAAGGGGAGCTCATCATTCATCTACAACCTTACAGGAGGGACGACAACCACCCAAGTTGTAGGTAAAAGGGAAATTTCAGCAGCAGTGAAATGAAAAGAAGAAGAGAGAGGACAAGGCTGGGCCAAGTCTATGATTCAAAAGTCTGCTTAAGAGAAGCCGAATCCAGGGGAAACACTAGCTGTGAGGACAGGTGGATCAGGACCTCTGGAGATCAGGAGCCGGCAGGAGAGGACAGGCTGGTACCAAGTGCTGTTCATACTTTGCCCTGAAAGAGTCGTGTTCCACATTTGTCCAGTGGTCTGCGGGGCGATCGTACTTGGAGCACTTCTTTCAGAGCAGAGGAAGTAGCTGCTGTGGCTTGGCCTCCCTAAATGCTTGTGCCTGGCACCAGCATTGGCTGGGCCTCTGTGATGGAGGACTTCCAGTGTACAGACAAGTTGCTGGCAGTGTCCATGGAAGGCCACACCCTTGGATGTCCACAGCGAATGTCACAACTGCTGGGGCAGTGAGAAGATCTCCACCTATGCCGAAGACTGCTGGGACACCATCCGCTGCGGGAGGGCCTCAGGCCGGGCAGCCCCACCAGGTGGTCGAGGCCACCCGTCCAGTCACGAGGCCTGCTCCAGGCTATGCTGCTCGTTGTCCTCCGTCTGTAACCAGCTCCAGTCTAGAGACTGAAAGTCAACAGGCGTGTTAGAAACACAGTGGCCAGCAATACACTTCAGGTTGTTTTTCTTCTTCAGGAGGCAACCCCATGACTTAGAAGGAAATTTAAATCCTGCCATTAATAAGAGTCTTGTTATTGGAGGGTACCCTTGAGCTAAAGCTACATATTCGAAACTGTAGAGGGGCTTTTCTTTGGACAGGCTTGAAATCCCTGAGATTCCGTAACTATGGAAACTGGAAAGGCAATTTCAGTATTACTTGTGGCTCACAGCACTTATTTGTACTCACTGTGGGCAGCTGGTACCAAGAGCTCATCTCAGCCATCCATTTCCAACCTCAGCAGATGGAATGGCCTCATAAGACTTTCTTTTCCTCTGGCAGAAGTGCAAATAAGTGTGAAAGGATCAAAATATCCAGTGCCAGGAGGAAGAGCAGCAACAAAAGGTACAGGAAGCCCCCAAACTGGAGAAGGACACATGACCAAACAGGAGGTAAGGATAAGTAGTGGTCTCCTCTCTGCGTCCTCCAAAAACCGAGAAGTCAGGGGGAGGCTGGCAGGGCAGGTAACTGTATTGGCTGGAAAAGGCCATTTAAAGATCTGAGGGAACGACTTAGGATCTGATCAACAGTTTAAGCTTTGTCTTAATATACTTGTATCTTGACTAGTTTTTTTTTTAGGTCAGCTTCCATGTAACTAGTACTACCTACTGCTAAGCTCCGCATCCCTGAGAAGTGGGGCTGTGCCAGGTTCTTGCTTTTCCCCGAGTCCGGCACAGCTCCCCACACACAGATGCTCAGCAACAGAGCAGAAGCTACAGGAGGAAAAGGCCTTCTTGGAACGAGAGCACCTTCCTCATAAGGATTAAGTGCTGTCAGGATTGAATGAGCTGACGCACATGAAGCACCTACACCCGTTCAATAACTGTCAGCATTATTGTGATGGTAAATAAAGATAAACATGTACTAGAAAATCATAGTCATGTACTGCGATGGAGGAAACGCTGGATTGCCTTTCCATTTTCCGTGTCTCGTTTGCTGTAGAAAGGAAGGACGTGGAACAGCTGGGATGCCCTCGGGCCATTACCCTCAAACTCTGGTCCTGATCTTTCATGGTGTCTTGTATTGCATTTTCCAGCTGAGTGCAGAGACTATGTGCTTCGGCCACCAGTTCTTCACTAAAGAAAACGATCACATTATTAGAAAGTGGTCAATATTATTTTCTTGGAGATAACACCAATGTTTAAAAATCTGTTAAAGAGCTTTTGACGAGATTTTAAAAATTAAATAATTATTTTGCTGCTGAGTGTCTTAAAACATCACGTCACTGACTAGTGAGTTCATTCATCTGGTTAAACACTTTCAGATGCCACAAGCATTACTGTTCACCGTAAGAACAAGCAAACAGATCCGCGGTTAACAGAAAAGGAAGAAGAAGCGCTCTCGTTGACTTAACCAGACAGCTGAATTTAATTCCCTCCAAACTGCCAAACCTAAAGTTGGCTCCCAAATCACCTGTTTTCCAATTTTTCAAACAGAAGAAATATATATAGACAAAGCAATTTCACCAGGTTTCCACAGCTCCTTGAAAACCCTGGAAATCTGTGGGAAGCGAGCTCTGGGAACTAATCTCATTTAATCTGCTCCCTCTTCTATGATAAGAGACGCGTGTGTCCCTCAACAACAGGCCCTCAGCTCTATGACGTGGAGAGACAAACAGCAGCCTGTGCTCCCGGGACGACGTTTCTAGAGCTTTGAGGACATCACTGGAGGGAACACAGCAAATCCAGGAGGACAGCGCCCTGGGCTCCCCTCACCCTGCACAGTGCGGCTCTCTGAGGGAAGGCACACACAGCACGTTTGTGCTTAGCTACAGGGCTCCAAACTAGGTGAGAGGCTCAGCGCCAGCTCCAGAGGCAGCGTGAGAGGAGGGGACCCAGGGACTGTCCTCAAGGAGCTCACAATAGGCTGGGGAGAAAACTAAGAGTCCAAGGCCACGTATGATTACGTACCAACATAGTAGAGGCCACAAACTCCCCAAGGACAGGAACAGGATTTTTAAAAACACCTTTATTGAGATATAATTTACAAACTACAAAGTTCAGCCATTTAAAGTATACAGTTCAATAGTTCTAGTATGTTTACAGAGTTGTGCAACCATCAGAATAATCTAGTTTTAAAACATTTTCATCACCCAAGAGGAAATTCCGAACCCACTGTCAGTCACTTCCCATCCCCTCTCCCCACCTGTCCTAGGCAATCACTAATCTATTTTCTATGTCTACAGATTTGCCTACAGGAACCAATTTTAACCATCTGCAGTGCCTAGGGCCTGAGAAGGTGCTGAATAAATGGGTGAGGGACTGAACTAGACACAAAACCCCACAGGCAGGCCAAGAAGAGAGCGATGCCTGTGTGCGTGCGTGGGCAGGGTTTGGGAGGAGGTGGGAAGCTGAGGGAAGTGGACGTGCCTCCAGGGAGGGCATGGGCCAGAGCCATGGGTCTCAAACTTCAGCATGCATCAGAGTCCGCCAAGGCTTGTCAAACACGGACTGCTGTGCCCCACCCCGAGCTTCTAATTCAGAATCTGCACTTCTAACCAGTACCCAGATGATGCTGATGCTGCTTTAAGCGCCGCTGGGCTACAGCAAGGAGTGTGAACAGGAGCAGTGGCTCCGCCTGGAGAGCAGCTCTGAGGCGGCTGTGAATGGCTGAACGGCTCAGGCTTGCCTCTCCAGGGAGCGAGAGGCCACTACGAGTAAGTGACCAAAGAATAACTTGATCAAAATGGTACTTTGTGAAGAGTCTCTGACCAGAGAGGGCTTAGAGGCAGTACCAGACAGGAAGCAGGGAAGCAAGAAGCCTTGTCACAAAGGACTGGAGTGTCCTGCTCACCACCTCTCCAGGCGGCAGGAGGGAAAGGAAGGGATGAACAGGAGGTGACGAGAGACAATGGAAGGAAACTGGTAACTTGGTAACTCAAAGTGGGGTGGGTGAGAGGGAGGAGGCAGGATGACTCAGGGGTGACGAACAGGGCACGGCCTGCAGGGAGTCTGGTTGGAAGAACAGATAATGACGGATGGACTACATGACAGCATGTGACTGACCAGCACTTTCAATATTCTCAGTAAGCAATCAGTGATTCAACCCTCTGATAAGGAAACTTTAGTTAGCAACTTAGAAGGGACTATGAGAGCAAAATATCACATTCGTCCCCAAAGTACCTCGCATATGTAACAAACACAAAGAAAAATATGCACAAAATCATAAGACAGATGGAACGGTGTGTTTACCAATGATAAACATATATTTCCACCCCCACGATCTCCTAACGTGCCCTTGAATATTACACTTGGCAGCACGGATGATGACGTACCTTTTCTTGGCTGATTCAGGTAGGCTGTCGGGGGTGGTGGAAGGCTGCGACACCAGCTGACCTGAGTGACTAAGGCGAGAAGCATTCATGCTATCTGGGCTTCCACTGACAGGACCACGGACCTTGCTCTAAAGGACAAAACCAAAGAGAAAGTCAACATGGGAGTCAAATATAGGAGCAAAGGGATGATTCCAATTTCCCCTTGACACCGTGGTTTTTCTCGAGACAACTGGCCACAAGACACACACTGTTCCTAGAAAATGTCAGTCAACATCCCCATCTGTGAGAACAGCTGATAGCTGCATTTTAGTTTAGAAAATGTTTCTGTATCTATAGGTATATTTTTTGATAAAAGATTCTAAATATAGGGAGATTTGAGTGCCTATATTTGTAGGCTTTATTTCATTAGTTTGTTTAACGAACTCTTAAAAGGAAATTAAAAGGGAGATGTTTTTATTCTTTTCCAAGTAGAAGACTGAGACACACAAAAAGGTTATAACTTCCTGTGAATGCACCATCTGTGGGACAGCTGAGAAGAAAACCAAGCTATTCTGACTCCTGGGCTGCTCCAGCCACTCCACCTCAAAGCCAAGATGTTAAAGCGATGCCCCTGCTCCAGCTACCTGCACCTCCTCACACCTGCAACTCACAGACATGACCTGTTGTCAACCTTCTCAGCACCTCAAGCCACCTCTCCCTCCCCGCGTCCCCAGCCACACTGGCATCTGTTGGCCTGACCCGCTTCTCACTGACCCAGCTCCTCGCCCCCACTGCAATCTGCAGCTCTTCAAACCCTCTCAGCCTCTCAAGCTGTGGGACCCACCCTGTCTCCACATATTCCCTTCCAGCTGAACATCCAGGTCCAACTTCAACCAGCCACTCAAGCACCCAATTTTGCCCTGTTCTGTTCTTTGTCCTTCTGCTGCGTCTTCCCTGATGGTCACCCACGGAAAGACCCGGGATTCCATCTCCTCTACTTCTGCCTGGGCCCACGAGTGTGGCAGGGGATCACTCCTGTGCTGTTTGGCTCCCTCACCCTTCCACCATCCTGTCCTGAGCACCACAGGGGTTACTCAACTCCAGCCCCCACCAAGCAGCCCCTCACTCCCAAGGGTGAGGTCTGCCCAAGTCTCAGGTCGGTCCTCCAATTGCCACTGGAGCGACTTCTCTAAAGCCCAATGTCACACCATTCCATACTTAACTTCCTTCACAATGAAAGGAAGAAACAAACCCTGCAGTGTTTCCTCTATGCCTTTAAAATAAAATGTAGCCCGCATAAGCGAGCCCTTGCCACCTCCCCAATTTCCCCCCCAGTGAATCCTTCCCCCACACCACACCAACCTGCCATCCCACCCAAAACACACCACACTCTCAGGCCTGCAGGCCTCTGAAAGAGCAATGTCTCTGTCCCCCAGGGTCCTCATCTCCACCTGCCCACCCACCTAACTGCTACTCAGTCTTCAGCTGAGCACTGCCTGCTGCAGACGTTTCCTGTGGTTCCCTCCCCTGAGACTGAAGCTGGCGTCGCTCCCCTGTCTTCCTGCTACGGCTTCTGCTTACCACAGACGCTGCACAGCACTTCCTGCCCTAAGCTGTCCTCACTCACTTCTCTGTCTGTGCCCCTCGCCGGGTTATACGCTGCCTGGGTCAAGCGCCCTAGCTTTTTTCCTTCTCTATCTCCAGTTTTCAGCACCCTTCTGGGCACATACTCAGCACTCAAACATCGAATGGACGCAGATGGCAGATCCGGCCATCACCTGTGAACACCTCAACTCTCTCCTCCTTCTTTGCCTTGTCTCTCTCCTTTTCTCTTTTCCTCCTTACTTACAGGATGAGATGCCACGCATGCCTTCCAAGGCCACCCCTTCCACTTACGCTCCTGATTCTGACCTCTCCCCGCTCCACTGTCCTCAGGACTGGAGACTCCACTGTCCCCTACCTCTCTGACATCTGCATCCCCCGGGACCCTGTCTCCTTCTGCTGGGCCTACAAATTGCTCCAGTCTCCATGATTGTAAAAAACTGCCATCCTTGTATCCTGTTTCCACCTTGAGCAACTCTCTTCCCATTTTCCTCTTGGCTCTTAAAGGCTATGGATGACTAAATCACTCTTTTCATCCCCTTTAACCTCTCTGCAGCCTTCACAGTGGGGTCACTGTCCCATCAGCTCTGGCTTCCCTGGCTTTCACCTGGCCCTTCTTTGTCTGTTCCGGTCTCTCCTTTCTATGTCACAGTTTCTCTCTGAGCAGCATTTAGTGGACTCACAGCAGCATGAAGATGGGGGCACAGACAGCGCGGGTACCATACTAAGCAGCACAGACACACACGAGGATCAAGCGGGTCATGCTCACATGCACTGTAGGGGGCTGCATGGAGGACCCCAGAAAGACCTGTCCATGTCCTAACTCCAGGAACCTGGGAATGTGACCTTATTTGGACAAAGGGTCTTTGCAGATGTAGTTAAGGACCCTGAGATGAGATCGTCCTGGATGCTTCAGGGGGACCTAAATCCAATGACAACTGTTTGTATAAGAGACACCCAGAAGAGAGACACAGAGAGGCCATGTGAAGGCAGAGGCAGAGGTTGGAGTGATGCTGCCACGAGCCAAGGAACGCCTGGAGCCGCCAGAAGCCGGCAGAGGCCTGGAGCCTTCAGAGGGAGCCCAGCCCCATCAACACCTTGATTTCAGGCTTCCGGACTCCAGGGCTGTGAGGGAGGAACTTGGTGGCGGTGAATTACAGGAGCCACAGGAAAGGCACACACGCACAAATGAGAACAGCTGGTACAGGCCCATCTCTGCCCGTGCCTGCTCAGGCTAAGTCACGGAGAAGACAAGGGAGGATGGGCAGCAGCAGCTGAGGGGTCTGTTGGGGCTCTGCGGCCTCCCTGGCGGCGCGGTGGCAGCAGCGCAGAGGGGCACAGAGCGGCTGGCCGGCCGAGGGCTGCGGGCCTGGCTACAGGGCTCACTCACACAAGCGATCTTCAGGAGATTCCAGAGCTCCTTCTGCCGCTTCTCCTGAAGCCGAACCACAGTCTTCTCATCCTCATTCATCAAACTCACCACCTCTTCCACCTTGGGCAACAATTCCAGAGCCTTCTGCTTGCAAACCACAGTTTTACTGCAAAGCATGAACACGACAAACACCAGTGGCATTCGGGTTGGGGAGCGGGAGAACATAATCCCTGGCAGTCAGGAATCCAATAAGCAGCCATGGACAGTTTCTCCAGGTGTTAAACAAGTCGGTGTGGAGTGAAGAAACAGCCACACCAGCAGCTGCCGCTCCACGTCCCACCCTCGAGTAGGACAGCCGGGGCTTATACCTGAGCTGCGTGTAAATCACTCGCACTTTCTTCTCGAAGCCTTGGATTGCCTGAAGTAGCAGCCGTACCATTTCCTGACTGTCCCCGTCAGTCCGCTGGTCTGGAAAGGGAAAGGAGTTGCACGGTTCCTCCAAGTGGCTGCCAGAGGGCTCCACGCCTCATCCCCGAGCTGACGATGAACCGGAGGAGACGTCAAAGTCCCCTTACCTCTCGGCTTTTCCCTTAGTCTCCTGTAAAGCTCCCTCGCCTGCTCTTCTCTGAAACACACAAAGAAGCAGCTCTGTGTCCGTCTGAGGTCAAATAAGCACATCTGAAGCATTGGTTAGCTAATCCCCGCCAACAGAATCACTGATTTCTAGAAGCAAGACTGGCAACAGGTCTTGATAGGAGAAAATTATTATTCCTAGGGATATGATAGTGATATCTATAATGAGGGAATGATCACCCCCTCATTATCAAAACTCAAATGTCCCCAAGGTTTAATGAGAGAGAATCTTAAGGAAAGGAGTCTCCATTCCCCGTGTGGAATTCCCCAGCCTCGCCCTCTTGTCTTCCGCAACAGTGATTCAGGCGCCATCACTGGACCTGAGCCTGGAGAACATGCTCTCCTTGGCAACTCAAGCCCAAGGGCAGATGCAAACTCCTACCCCTTTTCTCCTTAACATAGTGAGGCTGACTGACATTTTCAGAAGTGACTTTCATTTGGAAACTGGAGGAGAATAAAGTGTTAAATAACTCGAGAAAACATAGAATACAAATAATCAGATTTCTGATATTCAGCCTTCTCATCCTAAAATCTTAGTAAAAGCATCAGAGGACACCAGAGCCCAAATGAGACAGCTCTTGAGAGGCTGATGTGGCTTGCCAGCTTCCCTCCCCCCTGCACCCTGGGGCCGCCTACAACTGCCTTCAGGTGCGACTGCTCTGCCTGGGCAGCGCACCCCCTGCCCGAGCCAAGGCCAAGTTCCGGATAAAGACTCAGATGAACTTCTAAGACTCACTAGGTCACTTTGTTCTACCTTCTGCTCTTTGAGCCACATCCAGGGGGCGCTGGACCCAGGGGGACTTCTGATGCGGGTCAAGGCTCCTTGCATTACAGCCTTTAGAGTTTATGAACTACTGCTCTGTGCATTATCTGAACTGATCCTCATAACTTGATGAGGTCTGACAGTTTTTCTCACACTTAATAGATGTGGAAACTAAGGCTCAGAGTGATGGTGGTCTGCCCTTGCTCATCTCAGGAACATGCCGAGATGATTCACTGGGGGAGCATGCTCTACAGGAGAACGGCCTCACAGAGAGTCCATAATACCCACATGCGAACACTCAGATGACCCCAACACACATATGGAAACCCCAGTTGAGGCATCTGCGTGTGTTGTGTGCGGCGCATGGTTCCCTGCCCGGGTGGTACTCACAGGTCGTCCAGCGTCCCCCCCTGCTTCCGGCCCATTGGGCTCCTCTGCAAGTCCACAATGTCGGTCTGCAGCGCCATCATCCGCTCCACCAGATGTCTCACCTCATTCTCCTGATGAAAAAGCTGTGCTAATGTCAACTGACATAATAAGAGCATGCTGAGATGCAAAATCTTCAGGAAAAACCCTCCCAAGTCACTGAAGATTCTCAACTGACTGTCTAGAGGGAACAAGGACTTTGGAAGCAGAATGACCCAGGCTTGGATCTCAGGTCTACCGCCTTCTAGCTGTGTGACCCCTGGGCAAGTTCCTTAACCTCTGAGTTGCAGATTCCTCCACCATAAAACAGGCTTCTAATAGGGTTGTTTTAGGGGTTAGATAAGATAAAATATGTAAATCATCTGGCATGGTGCCTGGCATACCAAAGATGCCCAAGGCACATTCCTTCTCTTCTCTTAATGTATCCATCCCACACCGTCCCATGTGGGGAGGCCTGGACTCCTTTCTTTCATGAGTTTCGTATATGAGTGCCAAGGTGGGGTGCAGCCCCCACCCATCTCTATGGTTAAATAAGGTATTGTCTATAGAACACCCATCTTTAAGCAGGCATATCAGTACCAATTTATAGAAACAGGCATTGAAACACAGAGGTGAAGATCCCTGCCCACGTTCACAGGGGAAAATGGTGGAAAAGTCTGGGACAAAACCTCAGAGGCCAAGGTCTTCAATTTGTGTGAGGTTCACTAGGTCACACTTACTTCCGTGCCTCGTAATGAGCATTGTTCAGTGGCATCTGATTTACACTGTCCCGAGACTCACTCAGATTTAGTGTCCCAACAAAATTAGGCAAAAACCTGTGACAAGATGGAGTGCTGATCATTCACCCAAGGCCCTTTCTAATGGGAGAGGTCTAGGCTTCCCCCTAGGGACACCTTTGCCCCTTATTCAAATCTGGACCAGCTCTGTCCATCTGTGTAGCTCCTGCATCTGCCACAGGGGGGCCCCCTTCACTGGCTGCTCTCCCAGCCTCTTTCCAGCAAGTACTAGTTAAGGTCACAGAGCATGGTGAGGAAAGCTTAGTTTCTGACGAACAAGATCGCCCTAGTGTTCAATGAGAAAGTGGAAAATGGTGGTAAAAACCCTCATCCCCCTCAGGAGGGAGATAAACCTCAGATGATTCTCCTACCCGCCCACAGAGCTCCACGGCCTGCTCCATCTCCCTCCAGGCCAGCAGCAGTTTATCTGATGCTGGAAAAAAAATGCAGGGAAAAAATGAAAACACAAAACCAAAGCAGAAACAAGCAACTCAATCATAAGAGGACAAAAGAAACCTCAGGAAGAAAAACAAGAAAGGAATGGTCTCTCCAAAGTCATTGCAAAGAGCACACTCACTGATCCCAAACTCAGTCTGCTCACTGTACTTCTCCAGGTCAATCTGGATGCTGGTTTTGAAGAAGTCCAACTTGGCCTTGAGCTGCTGAGACATGGAAGCCATGGAATTCTTCATCTTGGAGAGGCAGCTGTTATTCCGGAGGAGATTCATCCTGCAGGGACCACAAGAAACGGAACCTTAGGGCATCTTTGGGATCCAAATACCATTTCCTGTACCATAACAAAACCACCTCAGATACTAAAGCAGATCCCTGCTGTAATTATTATTATTATAGCAGTCACTTACAACCATAAAGACCATTTCCTAGCCCTTAGCAACACATGAGTTTCCGCACCAAAACTGGAATTAGGCAGAGCACTACACAGACAGCCAGTAACCTAAATTAGTCACAGCCTGGGGAAAAAGGCAGTCCCCAGCATGACCATCCGGGCAGTTTCGCTAACCCATGTTCTAAATTCTGCCCTCAGTTCAGTCTGCGCAGCCCTCAGTCTATACTCTGCTCCAAGTGCTAACCTCACTCACCCTGCCAGGTCTAAAAGGGCCTCCCTCGATCCAGCCCAGAGGCCACTTCCCGCCCACCCAAACCAGCGTCTCCTCCTGTCTCTCCTGACAGTTGCTCCCCGCCCTGCCTCCACCGCCTCCCCACGGCAGCAGCCACGCAGCAACTGTAAATGAGTTGAGTCCAAACCCGCCTGGCCCCATACATGGCAGCTCGCTGGCCCTGCTGCAGCCGGCTACAGTCCTCCTTCAGGGTCTGGATGCTGTGCCAGACCTGGCCCCACACCTTCCTCAGCTGGAAGAAAGACAGGCTCCTCTTGGGCTCTTGCACTGCAACAGAGACATGCGCACTGTCAGACAATGACTCTCCGACAATGAGCCACACTGTGCCTTGACACATCACTGGCACTTTCACATTTTTAAAAGTGATGTAAACTACTATCTTGTTACATGACTGTTTTTGACTGTTATGCCTGTTACTGTCTCATACATTTTTTTGTGTCCCATGACAGCACAGGCATATACCAGTCAGTAAATAGCTCTTGATTTGATTTGCAGGAACGCTTTGTGAACCACGTGGAGACATTCACATGTACACAGGCACATACATTTTCAATAGAAACTCTTAGGGTCACAACATTTAAGGTCACAGGAAATTTTCTAAAAATGCAGCTTCAGCCAGCAGTACTGGAAAATGATTAAATAAGCAGTAAGCCCAGAGATCTCTAAGACTTTGGACCCTCAATCTGTTTAATTCTGTGTGTGTGTGTGTGTGTGTGTGTGTGTGTGTGTGAACAGGAGTGGGAGATGCATTAAAATGTCCATCTAACTTTCACAGAATGGAAGACTACACAGGCATTAAAACATAGGCAGCCCTATATGTACCAACAGGGGAAACATCTGCCAAATATATTAAGTGAAAAAGGCAGGTACAGAACAGTAGGTATTGTATGCTACCACTTCTTTGGGGAGAAAAAGAAGAAAAAATATATATTTTAGAACATAAGAATATATAGAGAGAATATATATTGTATAGACTATATACAATTATATATATATATATAATATAAAGAACATGTACACACACATATAGGATTTATAAATGCATAGACTACCCCTGAAAGGCATGAAGGTTATATATATGGGTACATATAATTTAGAAGTACACAGAATACCCCTGGAAGGTAAACCCAAGAATTTCATCGCAGTGGTTTTCCTGGAAGAGGCTGGGCATTAGAGGAGAGAGGGTGGCTTATTTTTCACTGTAAATTCCTCTGTCCCTTTTGATTTTTTTGTATCACACGCATGTAATAATTATTAAAACATAAATAAAATTAAAAAATAAATAAAGCAGCCATCTGCTTCAAGTCCAGTGGCTTGCAGGCAGGACTCTCTGTCCTCTCTTTGAAGTCCTCTCTCTGAGGTGGAGGTTCACTGAAGCCTGCCGCGCTCTTTTTCAGCTGGGCTACTCCTCACACGTCCCACATAAGGAAGGCTGCCCCAGGCCCAGGCAAGCTCATCTCCTCGGTGTGGACCCTTCCCCTGGTCCATGTCTCTCCTTCCTGCCCTGTCCCAAGCATTATAAGCGATTATTTTTGAAAAAAACAATGATGTTCTTACGGATACAGCTGACACTTTCAGGTTGGGGCCGTGGGGAGATCTGAGTCTCATAGGCGATTTTACTGTTGTCAAAAAGAAAAACGAGATCCATGTCCAGTGTGCGGCCCTCATTTAGCTGCAAAGGGACAAGAACAAAACGAGACCTTGTGAATCCAAGCTCTCCTTTTTCCAAGTAATAACGAAGAGATTTCAGAGTGCCTCCCACTGTTCACCAACAGCATCATCTTCGGCCAGCCAATACTAAGTGTCCATGAAGCCTTTCTGAAGGACTCTGGCCTCCACTTCCTTTTCCTGTTTCTTTTACACCCATTATCTGAACACGCACCTTATTCACAACTATTACATTCTATTTTATTCTCTGGTTGTGTTTACTGTGCACATAACACGTTCATGAGCTTCTTCCCCATCCAGTGACTGCTTCTCATACGTTAACTTTATTGGCTCTCTTTGGGTGGGGACCATGGGGTCTAGCATTGCTGCGGTTGTCAGCACATTCTGTACACGAGAGGTACATCATAAATAGTGTTGGTTGACTCAGAAGAATAAAGCATCGCTTTGGCAACAAAGGCAAAAGAAAGGCACTCTAAGTGGGCTGGAAGGAGAGGGTCAAGTGTCAAGGAGGGATCAAGGGGGATTCTTGTCTCCTATTAGGGGCTCAGGGGGTGTCGCATTCCAACTTAGAAAAACAGGCAGCTATCTGCACTGATTAAGAGACTGCTCGACAAGGCACAGCTGAAATCCGAGGGCACGAGTTTCCTTGGAGGCAAAGTCAGAGAAAAACAGGGCGTTCTGCAAGAAGCCAGGGGCTCACCTTGCCGTCTGAAATACACTGAGTGGCAGGCTTGTCGGGGATCAAGGCCAGACCTGCCTCTTGCAGCAGCTCCTGGTCCTCCTCAGGGATTCCTGTGTCCTGCTGGATTCTGGCCTTCAAGCTTTGCAGACTCTCGTCCTCTGTCACGGGATAGGTGTGAATGGTGCCTGTGACCATGTTCAAGATGTGAACCAGCTGCAACACGACCCAGATGTTACTGGAAAAAACCCACCTTTACAGATGCTCATCTATTTGCTGGATCCTCTGCTACTCTAACATTTCCCAGCCACAAAAAGCAAGGGCCTAGCTTGGGGAAGGCAGCCCGAGTGCCACAGTTCATACATTCAAGTCTTTAATATTCCTGTTCGTCCACAGCTATGACCTTACGACCAACGTCAGCAGCATAAGGGTCCTATCCTCTTACTTAACATAGAGAGATACTCTTACAGGAGCCGAATCTCCCCCCAGGTAGGGCGGCCCACAACCTGCTTTTTAATGAGTATTTCTTTCTCGTAGGAACTGCCACGTGCCATGGGGAGCTGACCTGTGCCTCAGGGCTAACATGGCTGCGAGCTCACCTTTAAGTTTAGGATGTCGTCCAGGGCCTTGAAGCAGCCGTTGGGCCCATACTCGGGGTCAGTGCCCCTTCTCCTGGGGTGCCACATTAGCATTAGCTGCAGCCACCTCTCCAGTCGCTGTGCCAGGATGCTGAGAAGAAAGGGGGCACAGAGTAGGGGGACACACCTCCAAAGCCATTTTCAGGTGGCCATAACGTGTAAACTAAAAAGTGCACACCTCACAAGCATGTCACCATGACACACATAGACAGCAGCCAATAAATGGTTACTGAAAATGAATTCATCTGAGAGAAAAAGTGAACATTTCCAACCAAATTAATTACTCAGGTGCTTATCACCTCCCTGGCCTGCTAAAACACCCCCTCAAGTCAGGGACTTCTCCACAGACGGTCAGAGACTGACCTCCCACTGGCTGCGTGAGAAGGATCTGTGAAGCTTTTTAAAACGCACTTTACAGGCATGCCCCACCTCCAGGTGACCCCACACACAATCTAGACCCCATGCGGCTGAATTTGTTTTGTCAGTCGCCCCCCTCAAAGGCATTGGTGGCTCACCAGGTTCACATTCCTTCCCCGGGCACTGCAGGCCCTTGCGGCCTGCCTCCTGTGAGCACTCTCAGCTCACCTCCCACCACCCTCCATGAAAGCCCCTCCGAGGTCAGCACGCCTACTCACCGCCTGCCGAAACGTGCCTTTGCGGCCCTCAATCCTTCCCCTTTGAACTTCCTTCCTCTTCACCTATCCATGTCCTGCATGTCTAGCCGGATCCCTCCAGAAAGTTCCAGCTCATCCAAAATCATTCCACATAGCTCTAGTACACACACCTCTCTCCCCATCCACTAAATACTCATGGTAGTTACCATCTATGCTGCTCAACTGCGTAACTGCCTTGTAGCTTCCTTTTGTACTATTACTCAATTCTGATATTATTTAACTGCTCATGTTCTGGCCCTAACACTAGATTGTAACGCCATTCAAACTACAAAGATTTCTCTGTTGACTATGACCCAGTATTAGGCTATATAGGGAGTGCCAAAAGAAATAAAGTATAATTCCCCACCCTTAAAACGCTTACAGTCAACTAGGAGATAAACCCTATGCAAACTCAAATGTTATACGAGGTAGACCCTATTAATGGTGAGAAGAGGCACAGATAAATTGTTATGTGAATTCAGAAAAGAGATGATTTCTGGATGGGGGTGAAGGGTGGGGATCCATTCTAAGTTTAAGATTGATATGTATTATGTCAAGTTCTTGGTCATCGGATGATATCCTGATAATTTATTTGAAAGCTATCAGATGTCACCTCAGATATCTATTTCTCAAAAAGGAAGAAAAATCTGTAGAAGAGAAATGCCACTGTGCCTTACCTGTTAAGGTTGTTGGGGTAGGGTAAAGAGCTTGAAAACTTCACTGTTCCATTCAGATCTTCACTAACAACAATGTCCACCTCACTCTTCTGCCGGACTTTGGAATGCCTGCAAATGTGTGATTTGGTTTACTATAGTCCTGAAGTCACCTCGTAGTCAAGAGCCATTTTATTTTTGTAACATATCACTTTACAACTGTACAGGATGCCCCCCAGGTCACTACTTAATCTTTTGGGATAATGGTCAGTGCATCTGTATCCTGCTAGGACGGCTTCTTTGAGAGTTTAAGAATGGCCAGTACTGCCTGATGAGTAGTCATTCACCTCCCTGGGCCCAGGGTTCTGCAGACAGGACTGCTGACTCCTTATCTCATCCTTGGCTTGTCCTTTTCATTTTCTCTGCTTCATCTAATACAAAACTGCCATGTTTTGATAGAGGACAAAATTAGGACTTCCAAACCAAGATTACTGCATGTGTATTACATTTAGAGGAAACATACACAACACGTGCACACACTTCTAAATGGATATGGCTGAATATTACTTCTAAAGGTAAATATTTACATTTCCCAATTTAGAGAACTTACTGATGCCTCTAAAATAGTATTTGAAGGAAAAACATTTTAAATCCAATTGGTTTCAAATCTTCTTGATGACAAGAATAATAACTTAAATTTGAATAATGCTTCATAGATAACCAAGTACGCTGATACCCAACATGCACTTCTTTGCCACGATGACCCCATGTGGTAGACATTATTTGTAGCCCCCTGTTCAGCGGTAAGGAAACGAAGACTAGGTGATTTGCCCAAGGCCACACAACTAGAGAGCAGCAGAACTGGTGACTCAAATCCAAAGTCCGGTGTTCTTCCTACTCTGTCTGAATGTCCAAATCCTTCCTTTCCGAAAACATCTAGGAAATTCAAATCAAAAATGCTTAAGCCCTGAATGCTTCTCATTGGCACGGGGTGACCTGGCCTATCCGACCACAGAGGACACCCAGAAGAGCTGGAGTATGGCAGAGGCTGCGGGCTACAGCCCTGGCAGAAACTGTGATCGCCGTAAGTCAGGTGTGCCCACACTTTGTCATCACACACAAGCAGGATGCTCCTTCAATGAAAACTTAGTCCGTCGATGGTAAATTATAAAAATAAAAGGACACAATAAATAAAATGCTTATTGCTTAGGTCCTAAAATGTATTTCAAAGCAGCTTTATAACAGAACTATAAAGCTCAGGTTGCATTTGTCCCGAAATTGCTATTTACCTGCCTTCTGAGATGAGAGCGAAATTTCTGAAAAGCTGTCTAAGGCCTTACAAAGCAGACGAGAGAGGCACTTCCCACAAACTAGCCCACTCAACAGCTCCTTACTGGGTCTGAGAGAAGTCCACGCGAAAGTGGTTCCCTGGTCTTCTAGCGCTGATGAGGGGAATTCTAGGAAGCTGATTCTGCAGACAGCACACTTACTGTGAAGATGCTGAGCCATTAGGGATGTATTTTCAAATAGCACTTGTTCTCCCAGTTCTAATGGATTTTAACTCATTGCATTATAAATAATGGAAAAGCTCAACATTTGAACTGAAGGGATGCAGCAATTCCTTGGTTAGTTAACAATATAGACATACAGATATCTAAAGTTATTTTTAGGATGGTTACACTTTAAGGTGTGACTATAAATTAATGAGCGAATTCCTCAATATTCCAGAACCTATGCAGGTCAACAAGCACTGCTTGTTTCAAAATACATCACCACAGGAGGGCACACTTTGCCATTTCACGAGCGGGGATCTCGCCTCATTCATCATTGTGCTTCCACTGTCCGGTCCATAAATGTGGACTGACCTGGACGGCCGTCACAGAAAACCATTTTGTGGAACTGATTTCAAAGGCTAGATCTTATTCTTACAAATAAATATTCTCATGATGTAAACACCTGTCCTTTGAAAAGGTTAATGTTTTTACTACTTCTAGACAGGTGTTTAGAAAAATGACAATAGCCAGTGTTGGCAATGGTGTGGCGAAACAGGCAGCTTTCTGGGTTCCTGGTGGAAATGTCATTTATACAACCTTCCTGTTGAGCATTTAGTTAACAGACATCAAAATGTGCACAATCTTTGACCTGTTAATTCCATTTCTAGGCATTGACCCTAGGGAAATAATTGTGGACCTATGAGGATTTCCCTAGAAGGATGCTATTCTTGGTGTTATTTTCAGAAGTAAAAATTATCAACCACCCATACTCTCAACAATGGGGGATAAATTAAATAAACTGCAGTATGGCCATTCAGTGGAATAACAATCAGATATTACAAATAATATGGAAAATCCTGAAGCATTTTCAACAGTAAGTTTGAAAAGCAGGTTATATGAGAGTACGTAAAGTAATTTTTTTTTAAGGTCTAACACACACACTAAAGAGCCTAGAGAAACAAACAAATGTTCACAGAGGTTATTTCCGGGTTGTGTGACGGAAACTCTCACAGGGTAAAAACGCTTTCAAAGCATGTACAGGACAGTGTTCATATAATGCTGCCACTGACATCAGAAAGGGGTGAAACACGGAAACAAGCAAACAAACAGTACATGCCAATTTGCTTGTACAAGCACAAAACATCTTTGGAAGCAGACCAGAAACTAACGGTGTCAGGGCGTCCGTGTGCAAGGAATGCAGGGGGCTGGAGACGGCTAGGGGCGACTTTTCACGGCACACCCTTTTATACTTTCTGAAGTTTGAACCATGAAAACTTTCAACTGCTCCAAAAAAATAAACTGGAAATAAAAAGTTTTTGAACAACGGTAGCATTATTTCAATTAGTGTGTGGCCTTTCAAGGAACAATTCTGAATGAGATCTAACTGATTTAAGGGAACATTAATTTTTAAATTATGCATTTCAGTCATGATTAACTTTTATATATACGTATAATGAATACATTTTTATAATCAGAAAAAAGTTAAAGAATATAGAGGAATTTTAAAAATCTTAATCGTATCCTTTGTTTTTTTATTAGAAAATCTTTTTTTGTAATTTATTCAGTTCACATTTTCAGCCAATTTCTTATACTTTGAAAACAGAAGTTTGTTCTCAGGTATAATAAAATTTCTCAATAATATATTATCACATAATTTATGAAAATGAAATTTATATTCAGGTGTAATAAAATTTGTCAACAATAAATTTCCATGTAAATATTTCTCATTATTTGTCATGTGAACACATCCTTTAATTGTTAACTAATAAGCAGCATTTTCAGTGTCAGGGCACACATTTGCACAAGAGGCTATGAAAGTACCGACATGTTGCTACTGAACTCAGGTGTCACACACAGTATTGTAGCGCAAGTTGTTAAGGTTCAGAATCCATGTGGATACTTAACCATTGCTCTCTTTATCTAGGTTTTTGGAGCTCAGGCTGCCCACAGGCTGGGTCCTAACAGGACTTCCGCTCCAGGAGACAGATCACAGATGGCTCAGGCCCAGCCTGGGAGCGCCCAGTGAGGCAGGGACGGGTGAAGCGGCATGACAGAGACAGATGGACACACTGCTCGCTTCAGGGGGCCCTCCTCGCCCCGGGCCCTGGACCCTGGCCTCACACTCACCACTGCACGGGCTGCCAGTTGGGGAGGAAGGGCCGGAAGCCTGTGATGCATTCGAAAGCCAAGGTGCCGAAGCTCCAGTAGTCCACGGTCACGGTGTACTTCTGCTGCTCCAGCAGCTCTGGGGCCTGCAAGGATGCACGTGGGGACACATCAGAGCCGCTCCCTCTCCTGAGAAGCCAACACGAGAGGGGGCAAGCAGCCCTTCTAATCAGGTCCCCACTCTTCGCTGGTTCCATCCGGGGGCACTGGCACGTCCACCACTTGTTTAGCTAGTGGGAGCCAGGATTCTTCTGTACCTCGTGCAATCCCGATGCTGGTACAAAGGCCCCCAGGGGTATTTCTAGGTAGACCAGACTACACTGTATACCCTTCTCTTGGGCGCTGTGTAGAGATGGGAAGATAGGCTACATTTAACAAAGGAAAATGATACCAGGTACACACACCAAATGCATAATACACGCATTAAATGCTGACTAAGTTTCCTAAACCAATGTGGTTTACAACACATGGGTGTACAATGGGATGACATATTTACAATCAGGCAGAAAAAGCCAGATGTATGACTGCTGCCCAAGTAGAAAGAACTGCGGTGACCAAGGAAAGATTCAAAGCACAGGCAGGACAGGAACCTGGCTCAGAAGAAGGCTCCTCACAGGAGTGTCTGAAAGGAGACATTCCAGGAAGGACCATCACAAGCAAAGGCACGCAGACAGGACTGTGCACGGTCTGGCTAGAAGTGGGACACGTATGGCAAGGCCAAGGAGTCCAAACCAAGAGGAAAAACTGGGGGATGGTCAGGTCAATCTCTAGGTCTGGTTATGGACAGAAGCTCAGCACCTGCAAGCGAGTGACGTGACGGAGCATCCTGGTCAGAGCACAAGGTTCCCGCCATTTAACTGCTGCCGAGGATTCCAGAGGACACTCAGTGGGACTTCCATAATTACATTATATGGACACAGGTGCCTGAATCGCAGCCCCCCGTGAAACCTCTACTCCACAGAGCAGGTGATAAATCCATGCAGGCCATTAGCCCAGTGGGTGGGGTAAGTAGGGAGCATTAATGCACTCAAAAAGACTTCAAAGGATTTTTTTCTTTTTAAGAACTAGACAAGATATTTAAGCTCATCTAGCCCAGGGGTTTCCAACCTGTTTTTGTTTTTGTTTTTTAAACTGCAGGCTCCTGTATTCAATCAACACTTTACTGACCCTTATCATCTGTAAGCAGTCTATTACCAAGTCTAGCTGAGTCTCTTAGTGCTAGGCATTTCTTTTTGTTTTGAGGAAGATTAGCCCTGAGCTAACATCTGTGCCAATCTTCCTCTTTTTGCTGAGGAAGACTGGCCCTGAGCTAACATCTGTGCCCATCCTCCTCTACTTTATATGTGGGACGCCTGCCACAGGATGGCTTGATAAGTGGTGCACAGGTCTGCACCTGGGATCTGGGCCGGCAAACCCCCGGCCACCAAAGCAAATGTGCAAACTTAACTGCTACGCCACTGGGCCAGCCCCACTTGCTAGGCAATCCTTGAACCATCTTCTGTAACCTCACTGTGACCACAGCTCTGAACTGGCCTACTGCCAGAGCCTCCTTCCTACTTGTCCACCATTTACTCTTGCTCAGTGCAATTCATTCTCCACACTGTATCAAGAGTGGTCTTTTCCAAAGGTAAACCTAATTCCTCTCCAACATAAAACCCTGCCATGTCTCTGCAGAGGTTTCAGGATAAAGTCTGAAATCTCTAACCTAGCCAAAAAGGCCCTGAAGAATTGGTCCCCACCTCTCTCTCCAGATTCTACTCAAGAGACTCTCTTCCTTCTTCTCTAGGCCCCAGCCCACACCTTCTGGTCTTCCAATGTGCCATCCCTCTGCCCAGAGTTTCCTCTCCCACACCTTTCACCTATTCATCCTTCAGGTCTCAGCCAGAGGCCAGGTCCTCCTAATACATATTCTTATAACCCCCTGCACTTTTCCTGTGTAGAATTGATCACAATTGTAGTTTCTTAGTCATTGGTGTAAGGATCAGGGGAATGCCTGCTTTCCTGCTAAACTCTAAGACTACACTTGGTCAATATTTCTCGAATGAATAAGTGACTCAGATAGAACCCCAACATCAGACCAAATAATGTAAAGAACGGGCGGGAGCTCAGAGCTCAGCATCCTTCTCCATGGCCTTTGAGATGCCTCATGGAAACGGTGGCCTCTACAGACCTGCATGAATCTAGCTTAAACTCTTTATTTGCAGATAAAATACTGCAGCACAAGAGGTTATGGGATTTGTGCAAGGGCACACAAGCAGGGCCCTTTTGACAGAAGAAGATGACCACATCCTTCCATAGGGCCTCTGCTGGCAAAAGCGCTGACTTGAACGGACTATGGGTCTGACCTCATACAACAATTCCCATGCATCTAGGCAACATCCACAGAGCGGGCAGGACTTAGCTGCTGGAAGGCAAGGATGGAGAGGAGCCCCACAAAGATGGCCATCAGAGAGAAACTGCTAAGGAAACACGTAGATCCCATTTCTTACCAGGTACTGCAGGGTCCCCACAAAGGAAGTACAAAGACTGCCCTGATCCAGCTCCTTGGCATATCCTAGGTCAATAATTTTGTGTATTAACTGAAAAAAAGGGAGGAGGAGAAATCTGAGGGTTATGAGAATACACTGTCCTCCTACAAGAATTCGGCTTGTCTGCTGACACAGCAGAGGATATTTCTGAATTCCCAGGTGGTATTAGAGCCTAAGTCCCTAGGAACCACCAGAGACACAGGAGAATGCCTTTCACATGGTAGATTTAGGGCAAAAGAAAACATACACTGTAAAAATGCTGAAAAAAGGCACATGTTCTCTCTCGTTCTGCAACCAATAACCAGAGGATGGTCAAAAGTAACAGACCATGCACCAGCCCTCAAGAATGCCAAACCCGGACTTTATGAGGTGAAAGACCAGGCCAGTCCCTTTTCAGTCAATATCTTTAGTTCTTAAATCTTAGAACCTCTGGCAAGAATGAGTGTGAACTGGAACAAAGGTGAGAGCGGTGATAGTCACGGTCAGGCCCAGAATGCTGACAGAGTGTATCAGAAGAGATTAAGTGACCCAGGAGCTGAGTTACTACATTCCACTCAGCTGAGCCCTTCTCACTGCCCCCAGCTAAACAAACAAGGCCATGAGAAAGCACAGGCTCCATGGGCAGGTGCCACCTCCAAATGCCTCTTCTCAGCCACATCCAGAACCCACTCAGAGCTGGTTTCCACGCTAGCATCAGGACTTGAGGCTCTCAAAGAAATGGAAAACAAAAAAGTCTGTTTCCAAGAAGTGTTAGTCCCAAAGGTTGGGGGTGGAGGTGGGAAGACAAACATTGTTTTTCTTATCAGATTCCTGCAACTTGGGCGATTAACAATGTGATCCTTTCAAACTTGCCTCAATCTGCAAGCAAGAACTTTTTGCTGAATTTGTTTTCAAACAAAAAAGCCTTCCCAGAGAACCAAAGCAAATGTAAACTGAAGGAAACGCAAACATAAACAAACACACAGAGCATGTTCCTTCTCGATCAAAGCAGCTTCCCTGAGGCAGCCCAGGACTCTCCCAGTCCCAGGAGGTCACTCACTCTTTGCTCTCCTTGCTGCAGGACGATGTTCTCTGGCTTTAGATCCCGATGGATGATTCTGTTTTCGTGAAGGTATCTAAGCGCAGAGGCTGAGAGGGTGGAAAGGGAGTGAATTTTCATTAAGCCGAAAAAATGCTTTTCATTTCAAAATCGCCTATCCTCAGAAAGATGAATTTGTGTGCCCCTGACACACACTCTGACTTTCAGTGCACAGACTCACGGTGTGGGCCAGGGCCGGGGGCAGAAGCCCCTTGGGTGACATGAAGGGGGCCTGGCTGCAGAGGCAGGACTAGCACCACCACAAGAATCTGGCTTTTTCATGCAAAGAACTCAGCCTTGCATCCACAAGGTCATCAACTGCAGTCTGGAGCAGTGGTTCTCCAACACCGCTGTCAGGACCAGCAGCATCTCAACTTGTTAGAAATGGAAAATTCTCAGGTCCCACCTGAGACCCACTGAATCGCAAACTGGGAGTGACTTTGCAATCTGTGTGTTAACAAGCTCTCCAGGTGATGATGATGCTGAAAAAGTTTGAGAAAGGGAATTTCTCTAGTGTGGAGGCTCAAAAATCTCAATTCTGTGGCAAAAATAACCAAAACAAAAAGTAACAAATGTTGGAGAGGTTGTGGAGAAAAAGGAACCCTCATACACTGCTTGTGAGAACGCAAACTGGTGCAGCCACTATGGAAAAAATTAAAAACAGAAATACCATATGACCCAGCCATCCCACTACTAGGTATCTATCCAAAGAACTTGAAGTCAGCAATTCCAAAAGTCCCATGCACCCCTATGTTCATCGCAGCATTATTTACAATAGCCAAGACATGGAAGCAATCTAAGTGCCCACTGACTGATGATTGGATAAAGAAGATATAGTATATATATACAATGGAATACTACTCAGCCATAAAAAAGGATAAAATTGTCCCATTCACAACAACACGGATGGACCTTGAGGGGATTATGTTAAGTGAAATAAGCCAGATAGAGAAGGACAATCTCTGGATGACCCCACTCATGTGAGGAATTTAAACATGTGGACAAAGAGAACAGATTAGTGGCTACCAGGGGGATGGGGGGAGGGGGTTGGGCACAAAGGGTGAAGTGGTGCACCTACAACACGACTGAATAATGTACAACTGAAATTTCACAAGGTTGTAAACTATCATAATCTCAATAAAAGGTTAAAAAAAAAATCTCAATTCTGCAAGGTGGTTGAAGGAGGAGGGTGTTCCGGGCAGAGAGAGCTTTGGGCATGTGATCTGAGTCTAATAAGGTCAGAGCTGCTTCAAGGAAGAAGTAGGGAGCCCAGGAAGAAGAGAAGAGGAGCACATTCAACACATATGACCCTGTGACATGTGTTTACTATGTGCCCAGTTCTCTGCTGGGTTCTGTGAGGGACATGAAACAAGGGACATGATCCTCAACTTGCAAGAGCCCAGAATCCACTTGGGAAGGAAAGAGTCTGCACAATACTGGCAGTGAAGTCATTCGACACCCATACCTCTGTGCAGAGGAAATGAGGTGAGTTACACAGGAGGGCCGTGGCACAGAGCAACGGGCTCCATCTGCAGCTCAGACTCCAAGCAGGAGGCGATTTGTACCCATAAGAGAGGTTTAACAATTTTAACAGAAATCCTTGCAAGGTGTGCTACAAAAGAAAAAAAATAGAATAAGTATTGGAAGAGATAAAATTATCTTTATTTGGAGATGATATGACCATGTATATGCCTAGAAAACTCAATAGACTAACCACTGGAAAGAATTTAGTAAGTTGTCTGGAAACAAAACAAGTATACACAAATCAACAGCTTTTCTCAAGGTCAGCTATATCCAGTTGAAACGGAAAGAGAAAAAATAAATCCCATTTACATTAGCAACAAAAACTCCAAAGGACAAATTTAGCAAAAAAACCCCTAGTGTTAGGTGAAAAGTATACAGCATAAAGAAAAGCAATATAAATAACATAAAAAGGTTTTAAAAGTTTATAGCTAAAGATACTATTCACAGAGCCAAAAGACAAAAAGGGCTGGAAAAAAATATCTGCAACACATATGCCAAAGAGTAAATATATCTAATAGACAAAGAGCACTTACAAATCAGTAAGAAAGCAACTCAGTAGGAAAAGGGGTAACTTACAGAAGAAGAATGCAAACGGTGAACAATTCTGCACAAAGCTGCTCAAGCTCATGAGCAGTCCAAAAAGTGTAAGTTAAAGCACAATGAAATGCCTGTTTTCACTATTCAACTGGCAAGAATTTTAGATGAGAAATAGAAGGCACTTCCTTACATTGCTGGAAGGAGGAAAAATTGCTGTGCCTTTAGGGGAAAGAAATATGGCAATATCCATTAAATTTTAAAAGGTATGTATTGTTTGACCCATTAGTTCCACCTCTGGTAATCGAGCTTGTAACATCAAAAGCATCATAACATAGGCATAAGGATGCTTATTACATAGCTCGGAGTGAAATAACTAGAAACGACCTGAAACAATGAGAGAATGGTTGAGCAAATGACGCTAGATCCACACTACACTAGGCAACTGTTTTAAAGTCACGTAGGTTGATAGATAATATAACTCAGATATAGATATTATGACTCAGCGGGATGTCAAGGCTGTATGCCAAGTCAATGGTATGATCACTTTTTTGTTTTTTCAAAAAAAAAGGTGAAAAGTAAAAGCAAGAGCAACACTAAGAAAGGTTAATAATGAGCCCTCCCTGTGCCACCACACACACAAGCTCATCACCCCAGACAGAATGTGGCCCAACCTGGGCGGTGGGCAGCGCCGCGGGTCCGGGCAGCTGCTCCCATCTGCTCAGCAGGAGCAGGAGGAAAAACACCTTCCACAGAAACCAAGTGATTGCTCCATAGAGACCTGCATGCTGAGCTTCCCCTGAAAACACGTTTGAAAGTCAAACTGAGAGAGCTGGACAATTGACTAACATCTGAGGGGAGTTCCACCTCAGAACATTAAGTTACATTTCAAAACCTCTAATTCCATCTGCCCTTCTACACCCAGCCTTTGACCGCACACGTCATTCCAACATTGCATACTTGTTCCTTATTCTTCTTTTCTTTCATAACTGAATACAGTCGATTGGCTTAGGTCCAACAAATGTCCAAATGCAGTGAAAGACTCGCTGCTTGCAACGTGTGCCTAAAAAATTCCACTCCACCTCGTTCTCAATTGTATTAACTTTTAAAGACCAAAGCTTCTTGCCAGCACTTCCATTTTTGTCTTACTAATTTTTTAAAGAATCAGAGCCAAGTATAATAAAACATTCCAATAACTACACAAACACAACCTTGCAAATGGGGTGGTGCTGCTGCACCTGAACGAGCGGCTGGCAGCGAGCACCGCTGCGCAGGAAGCGGACGTGTTTGTTACGGACTGACTCACAAAAGACCCATTTTGGTATATGACAAGGGCGTCAGGGTATAATGGATCCAAGCGTGGGTTGGTTTGTTGAAAAGCAGAACATATGGAAGTTGAGACTCACTGTATCTTGGGCAAGTACGTACGCCCCGACTAAGACGAGGCCTCTGCAGCTAGATGTGAACATCTCAGCACAAATAACACGGAGCAGCGGAGACGCCCCAAGAAGCCCCGAGAGGGAAGAGTGTGGACCAGAGTGAAAGCACTCTCCTCCCCACCATGCTGATTAAGAGCTGTCACCTGAGCTTCACTGAGGGGGAGGGCAAGCTGGCAACTAAGTCACTGCCTACTATTAATAGCTGGCCATGTTTACGCTTAAGCAACTGTATGTAACAAATTAATCCTCATTTCAGGGCAGTCATTTATTCCCAAATACTTTTGTCAACTGAAAGTCTGGAATTAAAGACGCTGTGGGTATCGTTATATACAGTTTCTTGGACTGAGTGAAACAGTCAGAATTCTAACGGGCAAGACCCCTTACAGAGATCTCCTCACAGAATCGTCTTTAAAAAGCTTAGTTCGGCCTGACTGGGCTGCAGTTTACAAAACAGCACCTGAAGAGCAGTGAATGGAATGAGTCAAAATCCTCTCGGGCTAAGAGAACCTAATTTGATTTAAATGGGATGGAAAATGAGAAGCTGAGATGAAGAAAAATACTTTTGCATGTGAAATTTCCTTAAAAACCCTAAGCTCCTAGCAGTAGTGATAATACACGTGTATAAAAATTGAAAACCACACCACAAAGCACAAAACCCAAAAAGTTAACTTCTCCCATTCCAATTATAGAAAAGAGTTGTGAGAAGCACCCCGTGTGCACTTGTAAAGCACACGCAGGCATTTCCGAGGACAGCTACTGCACAGACAGGTCCAAGGTAAGGACCTGCCACAGGAAAACAAGAGCCTCCTCCTATTATCCTTGTCAAAAACAGCATCCAGGTATTGTCCCAGCTTTCCCTTAGCCTGTGAGGTAGACACAAACACACACTGAAGAACAGGACACTCCTGGAGTTCTTATTGATGAACCAGAATCCCAAATCATAGCTCCTGTTTATTTTTTCAGCTTACAAATCGCAAATTAGGCAACAGAGAGGACCAGCTAGACTTCCATGTGCAAAAGCAGACTCATAAGGTTGTGTCCGTGAATCCCCACTTCCCACACTCCAAATTTAAAGGATTACTAAGCTCCCTTGAGAACATTTTTGTTTGGGATACTTTTCATAGAGAAGAAACAGAAAGATAAATGGACGAAAAAGTTGGGACAGAGATTAGAAGAGAAAGAAAAGCCAGTCACCAATGAGTAAGAAGGGCAATAGGATGCTTGTTCACTCAATAAAAATTGACTGAGTGCCTACTACGCACCAGTCACTTTGGTGTCTCCAAACTTTCCAAACAAAACAGACTGAAGGCCAAGCGTGGACATGTGGAGAAAGACTGAGTCCAGCTAAAGGTTGCTCAGCTAAAACAGCCCCTGAGACCAATGGGCAAGGCAGCAAGGCAGCCACACGGAGTGCTGAGAGGAAGGTGCAGAGTCCTTCTCCCAGTCACTCAACAAGAACTTATAAAGGGTCTTCTATTTGCTAGGCATTGTGGAAAATGTGCCACTGAATCCAAATGTTTTCTTCACTGACTGCACAAATGGTCTGGTCAATG